GGATTTCGACAGATTTGGGACCGTCTGTCTTCTTGGATGACTCCTGCTCATTTTGGTCTTTCTGGGATCTCAGATCAAGGACTTGGAGAGACCCTTTTTCAGCTCACTCCTCGTTAGTATAGTGGTGAGTATCCCCGCCTGTCACGCGGGAGACCGGGGTTCGATTCCCCGACGGGGAGGAGTTTTAGCTTTTCTTCTTAAATTTTAAGTCTAGGTACTCTCACTGCATTTCATTTATTGATGAAGTTGTCTTCTGGGCCACAAGAAAGGCATAAGACGGAGAGGAAGAGGAGAGTGGAAGCCATCCTGTCTCACGAGCTCAAATCTAAACGTGGCTACACTAGCCGTTGTTTTATTTCAGTGTATTTATGTGACGTGTTCATCGAAGATAACTCAGAAGACAGGAAGCGGCAAGAGAAGGAAAACTGACAATGCGCGTAATCTGTGGACGGCTCCGACAGGCTCCCGTGGTTTCTCCTGGACCTCGCCAGTCTCAGCTTGAAGGCCTGAACTCCGCGACCTGGCGTCTGGATTTACATTGCAACCCGAGTGCGGTGGGCAGTTCCGGCGCACCTGTACTACATGCTGGGAAGAGCATGCAGCGGGGCTAGCAGGGCTACGGAGGGACTGGCCGGTCACGGAGGCCGCGGCTCTCCTGGCGGGGGACTCCTCTGGACGTTCGGGTGCACCATGTTGGTGGCAAATGAACACAGAAAATGAAAAAAGACCATGCGTTGGCCGGGAATCGAACCCGGGTCAACTGCTTGGAAGGCAGCTATGCTCACCACTATACCACCAACGCAGCCATGTAGAGCTGCGGCTCTGCAGTAAATCAAGTTTAGATTCAGCTGCCCGACTAGTTTGGAACGTTATTTTATGTGATTATCTGAGGCGATAGCCAATGTACAAATCAGGAAAACACGATTCCGAGAATTTAAATGAGGCTTCTATGCATCGCCACCACAACTGACGTGTAAGATCTGTTTAGGAGCCTGTGACGCCATGATGACATCATCTCCAGAAAAAAATGTTCCAAACATACAGAAATCGCTTATCTGAGTGAGCTCAACATATCACAGGGTAAAAGAATTGGGCTTCCTGCCAAATGCACCTAAGCACGCATTGTCGCTTACCTAAAACCGTTTACTTTTTGCGTGTGCACGAGCCTCTCCGCCTGGGTCAGGAGAAGCCGGGAAAAGCCTCATTTCGCCCTGCTGATATGTCTGTTCACCAGACCCGTCAAAAGCACAGTTCAGGAAGGCCTCGTGGCGCAACGGTAGCGCGTCTGACTCCAGATCAGAAGGTTGCGTGTTCAAATCACGTCGGGGTCACAAACCAAGTATATTTTATAATTTATGTCTGTACTGGCAGCTTTCAACAAAAATTTAAATCCTGCTCTAATTAGATGAAATTTTATTTCTGCCTTCAAAGCACCTAAATGTCCCCTAAGATACAAGTGTGGGGACTTTTATATTGTTTCACCATTTCTGTCAAAATAGTAATACTTTTAATAGATATTTTAGGTATCCTAACAAAAACTGTTCATGAAGAGTCCCCAACTCTTGTTCCAAATATGTATCAATAAATATTCTCCATTGGAAAAAAAAATGCAGCAATAGTTAATCACCTTTCAAGTAATAGTAGTTATGCATGAGTATTATCCCAAGCCACTGTTCTCATTTGAGGCTGCCTAATCTACATTTGCTGGTGGTGTCCATAATCTTGTATTTCATTGTTTTTGCTCATCGTTGTAATAGAAATATGATTCTATACTGTTTATAATTGTAATGACAACCTAAAATGTGATGACACTTGTACAACTATTAAGCAGTTTTTCCAAAGTTAGATACTTTGTCCCAATTAGCTGCACTTTTTTTCTTAGTATTTAAAAGTTATTGCTTCCAGAGGGCTAAGTGTGGTGGTGCACACCTTACTCCTAGTTCTAGGGAGACAGAGACAGGTAGACCTCTGTGAAATCTAGGCCAGTCTGGTCTATATAGCAAGTTCCAGTCCAGCTGGGGCTACAAGGAAAGCTTGTCTCAAAAAACAAAAAGAAGGGGAAAAAGTTACTGTTGGTTGGTTAGTTGTTTTGTTTTGTTTGTTTGAGCTGATGTCTCAGTAGTCTAGGCTGGCCTCTAAGTTCTAAGTAACTGCCAATGACTTTGAACCAGTCTCTTTTCTTTTTTTCCTTTGGTCTGTGGTATATATATATAAATTCCTGAAACTTCAGGTTCTGGTCAATGGTCTTCCAAGGACTATGTAACTTTTTCAAGTATAAGTATCTTTCTTTTTCCAGTGTTGTTTTCTTGTATTTAAATTTTGAGTCCAATTTTTATAAAAAAATATTTTATTTAATGTGTATGCATGTATTGCCTACATTTAAGTGCACTCCGGTCAGAGGAGGCTGTCAGATCCCATAGAACTGGAGTTACAGACGCTTGTTAGCTGTTATGTGGGTGCTGGGATTCGAACCCAGGTCTTCTGCAAGACCAACTACTGTGCTTAACCACTGAACCATCTCTCCAGCCCCAACAATTTTAAATTTTATTTATTTTAACTTTTTTTTTTTTGTAGTTCTGGCTTGGAACTCATTGTGTAACCAGACAGACCTTGTACTCACAAGTGATCCTCCTGTCTCTGCATCCCAATTGCTGAGATTATAGGTGTGAGCCACGATGCCTGGCTTAGGGCCAATTTTTTGAAAATGTTTTTAATAAGTTGGGGTAGAACGAGTGTTACATACAAATGTTCTCACCAGACTTCTCCAGGGCCCTAGACACCTAGAACAAGAGCATTTTGCTGCCTTCAGTATATTTTAGAAAGAAAGAAAGAAAGAAAGAAAGAAAGAAAGAAAGAAAGAAAGAAAGAAAGAAAGAAAGAAAGAAAGAAAGAAAAGAAAGGAAGAAATTCAAGTAAACAAACTCTCCCAACACAAACACACACACCCACAGAGGCCTTGTCTTTCTAAATGGAAAATTTATTATCCTGACATCTCTTTCCTCCACTAAATATGCTTTGTTAGTGTGGCAAGCTGAGATTCCTAGTGAGGAATCTGGGCCTCAGAAAACCACCCACACAACAGATATAGTGCAAGCTGTGCTTCCCTTGCCTCACTCTTGGGTCTTGCCTTACCTTTTGCCAGATCAGTCACTATGTCAAGACAGAGGCATACAACCCAAGTTGCAAACACTGTATATGCTGGAGCTTTGGAACACCAAACAGTCCTTTCCCAGTCCTGTGAAATATCAGCCCAAGGCAAAAGAATAGTGAAAAATCCCCTTCATATATCCACAAATGAAGACTACTCAATGGGAATTGCTAATTTACAGAGATGGAAGACTTACTTATTTATAATTGTTAGCAATTCTCCTGCCTCCAGCTCCTGTGTGCCTAGTATTAGAACTAGAAACTTTTTTTTTTGGTCTCTTTCAGACAGGGTCTCCCTGTAGCCCCAGGTGGCCTGGAACGCCCTATGTAGATCAGGCTGGCCTCGAACTCATAGAGATCCTCCTGCCTTCGAAGTGCTGGGATTAAGGGCCTGCACCACCACAACCAGCTATAAACTTTTTTTAAGGCAAGATCTCATTACTAATGTCCTAGCTGGCTTTAAACTCACTCTGTAGACCAAGCTGGCCTTGAATTCCTACAGCCTCAGCTAGCCTGGAATTCACTATGTAGACCAGGTTGGCCTCAATTTCACAGAGATCTGCCTGCCTCTGCTGGGATTAAAGGTGAGCACCACCACCTGGGGCATGCCTTACAGGATTTTAAAAAAATATTTTATTTATTATTTTTATTTTCTGTGTATGAGTGTTATGCCTGCATGTAGGTAAGTGCACCCCTGTCGTGCAGAGCCAGCGGAGGACAGAAGAGGCTGTTGGATCCCCTGTAACTGGAGTTACAGGACAGTTGTTAGCTGCCATGTGGGTGCTGAGATTTGAACCCGGGTCTTCTGCAAGAACAGTCAGTCTCTCCAGCCCTGCCTTATAGGATTTTAAAAAACAAAATAGTAATGACACAAGATTAAGAGTGTAGAACAGAACTTTTTTTGGAGGCAGGGACCAGACATAGCCCAGAGTGACCTCAAACTTACAATCCTCCTGCCTCAGCTTCCTGAGTGCTGGGATTATAGATTTGCACCTATAAATCCACACCTGGATTAAAAAATTTTAATATTTATTATTTTGTGTGTATGAGTATTGTCTACATGTATGCAAGTGCACCCGTGTGGTGCAATGCCCACGAGGTCAGAAGAGTGTGTTGCTTCACCAGTGGAGTTACTGAGGCTTGTTAGCTGCCATGTGGGCGTTGGGAACAGAACCCGGGTTCTCTTCGAGAGCAACCAGTGCTCTCAACCGCTGAGCAACCTCTCCAGTCCGGATAAAATATTTTTACAATATTTATCACTTTTTTTTTTTTAAAAAAAAAAAAAAAAAAAAACAGGATCTCACCATGTAGCGGTGGCTGGCCTGGGACTCGCTATGTAGACTAGGCTGGCCTGGGACTCGCTTTGTAGACTAGGCTGGCCTCGAACTCACAAAGACCCGAGTGCTGGGATCAAAGGCGTGTAGCATCACCACTTTCAAGCAGAGTGCTAAGACAAAGCTCTACAGATACCGGAAGAGGACCGCGCACGCGAAGATTTCATTAAGGGCGGCATTTAAATTCTCCCGCGAACCCGGCAGTTTAACAAATGGTGTTGGCATAATTGTCCCTCCATCTGGCAGAAAACAATGTTAGATCCTAGTTTAAGCAAGAAAAATAATCTCGGTTATATTAAGTTTTTCATAAAAGAAAGCAAAAGAGAGTATTTGAGAAACTTGGAGTTACCAAACCTGAATGCAAAGAAACGAGTCTCAGTCCACGCCTCCTTCGGGGGGGGGCTCAACGACCTACGTAATGGGACACGTAGCCAATGAGAGCGGGCATGGACAGCTTGCTCAGCCAATAGGAGCACGGCGGGAGATTTGAAAGTGTCCGGGGAGGGGAGGGGCCGGGAGGGTTCTGTAGTTTGCGGGTGCCGAGGGGGAGAGTTGCTGTGAGGTGGGCCCCGGGAGAGCTCAGGTCCGTTGGGCGGGTGGTGGTCCTGGAGAGGGAGGGACCACGGCAGGCCCGGGGCGCTGCACCGCGCGGTGCGCTCGGACCCCGGCTCCCTCCCGCCAGGCAGAGCGGCCCTCGGTCTGCCTGCTCGTCCCGCCGCTCACTGCCCTTCCCTTCTCTACCCAGCTCTCCCGCGTTTTCTCTAAGAATGGCGCAGAAGGAGAACACCTACCCGTGGCCCTACGGCCGGCAGACGGTAAGGCCCTCCCATCTTCCTCGCCCCATCTCCCCTGGAAGGCAAGTTCTTGCTTGGAGATTTGAAGTCTACAGATGGTGGTCCTCTAAGCCCACTCTTGTCACTTATCCTACCAGATGTGACCAGGTTGAATCTGACCAGCCTGTAACGACCTCTTCAGAGCTGAGCCTGATTCCCATCCTCTATTATCCTCTATTATGAAAAATAAACCACTCAGAAATAGACTCTAGAATCTAAAACTACTGTTTGAGAGGACCAGGACAATCTAAATTACTCATTTAAAATTTACTATTTACTTGTGGTCCTGGATATCAAACTCTGGGCCTTAAATTTTGCTGTACCTGGGCTACAATCCAGTCCTGGAATTTAATTTTTAAAATTTATTTTATGTGTATGAGTGTATTGCCTGCATGTATGTTAGTGTGCCCATGGAAGACAGAAGGTGTCAGATCCAGGATGGTTGTTAGCCATCATGTGGGTACTGGGATTTGAACCCAAATCCTCTGTAAGATTAGCCAGTGCTCTTAACTTCTGAGCCCTCTCTCTATGGAATTTGATTTTAATGAGTGTTGTGACTTGAACTAAAGATTCAAATAAATTTATTTTCCCGTTACCCAAATGCCTTTCAGTGAACCATCCACACTGTGATTGGAAATGTATGTTTGTGTGTGTGTGTGTGTGTGTGAACTTCAGCTTTGTTATTTGCCAATCTATACTGATATACTAATATCGCTGGGAAATTGTAGGGGCAGCCAGCCTTTTCTTGGCTGAAGAAGAGGAGCTAGGCATGGTGGTACATACCTGTTACCCCAGCACTGGTGATAGTGAGACAGATTTACAGTTGTGAGGCCAACTTAAGCTTTATATAACCCTGTCCCCAAAAGAGTGACGGCTCTTTCAAAGTCCTTGGAGAGTCTATTTGTTCCCTTATTCCAGCTTCCTCTACTTGGAGCACTAAGTAAAACCGACAAGGGTGGAGTCTTGAGTTCAGTGCTATCATTTTTTTACCTTGGTTGCTATCAAAAGAAACTATTACTATGAGAAGCTGAAAGTGAAGAAGTAGCTCAAGGCCAGACTAACCCTCAGTATCCCTAAAGCCTGTTACCACAAAGGGTTAAATTCTACTGTTGCAACTGCAAGAGCTCCGGTATCTTATCTGAGCCTTGATTAATGTGGTGAGGTGTATAGACCTGTACAGACTGTATAGTTTCATACCTGAGAAGGTGATCTAGGCCATGGTCAGAAGTGAAATGGTAGATATTAGAGTAAGTCTGTTGCCTCTTGTCTTGAGTTGTTTATTTATTTATTCATTTAAATTAGAAAAATTTTATTTGTGGGAGTGATGTTGAGACAAGATCTCATGTAACCCAACTGAATGGGACCTCATGTAGCTCAAACTAGCCTTGAACTCCTGGTCTTCCTACCTCACCCTCCTAAGTGCTGAGATTATTGATGGATGCCAGGATGCCCAGGTCTTAAGTTGTTTCTTAATAACCCATTTAATGTGGAACTATTAGCAGAATCTTGGGGCTAGACAGTTAGTTACATTGTGCTGTCTATCCATACTGTTTGAGCTGTGGGTGGATAGGTGGGTGACTCTTTAGCAAGTAGCTGATGTGCTGCTTATAGCACATTCCAGCCAGGCCATGGGGACAAAGGCACCCTCAGAGCTACCCCTTGCTCCTCAGTCTCAGTCAGGCCTGAACACCCTGCCCCAGAGAGTCCTCAGGAAGGAACCTGCCACACCATCTGCGCTTGTTCTCATGAGCCGATCCAATGGCCAGCCCACAGGTACCTGGGACAACGGGGAGAGGATTAACCCAAGGGGACCAGAACCTAAGGGAGGGTGTAGAATGAGAATGTCTCAAAGAAGGAACTCAACACCTCTGCTCTCTCCTTAGTTGCCCCTGGCCAGAAGTTCGGTGAGAACATCAGTGGGGGATGCAATGGCATGTAAGTGCCCTATAGAAGGTAGAGGGAGGTAACCAGTGAAAAGGCAGGAAACGGGAGAGAGTAAGGAGAGTAGGTGTGGGAAGGAAAACAAAGCAAACACCTCAGAATCTACAGGGCAGCACTGAGCTAGCTACCTTCCCCCACTTTCTAACCAGACGTTCCCTCACAATTGATGACTTTGAGATTGGCCGACCCCTGGGCAAAGGCAAATTTGGAAATGTGTACTTGGCACGGGAAAAGAAAAGCCAATTCATCGTGGCTCTCAAGGTCCTCTTCAAATCTCAGATTGAGAAAGAGGGTGTGGAACACCAGCTGCGCAGAGAGATTGAAATCCAGGCCCACCTTCAGTAAGCTATTTGCCTCTGACCCTAAAACCCCTCTGTATCCTCACCCGGCAGCCCCTCTGTCAACCCTATCATCCCACGTTGCTGTCTCCCTCACTCAGGGCCACCTGCATCAGCTCTTCCTTATTACTCTCAGCCCTGATCTGTGACCCACCCCAGTTCATCCCACTGGGCCCTACCATCTGTCCGGGCTCCTAAATGCAGTCTGAAGCCTCCTTTCCCCTTACCCCAGACATCCCAACATTCTTCGGCTCTACAATTATTTCTATGACCGGCGGAGGATCTACTTGATCCTGGAGTATGCCCCCCGGGGTGAGCTCTACAAGGAATTACAGAAGAATCACATTTTTGACGAGCAGCGAACAGCCACGGTCCGGGCTGGTGGGCACCTGGGGCCCGGCTGTGGGTGTGAGGCTGGGGGCGGCATCTTCAAGCTGGAGGCCTGATGTCTTGTGGATCCCCTCAGATCATGGAGGAATTGGCAGATGCTCTGATGTATTGCCACAAGAAGAAGGTGATTCACAGAGACATAAAGCCTGAGAACCTGCTCTTGGGACTCCAGGGAGAGCTGAAGATTGCTGATTTTGGCTGGTCTGTACATGCTCCCTCTCTGAGGTACAGTGGGACTGTTCCCGGTGTGAGGTTGTGACATTCCCCATAAAACTCCTCTGTATCTTCTTAATCAGGAACATTAGGATTTGTCTTCATGCACACATAGCCATAGTGGTACCTTTACAAAAATAGGTGACTCAACAATTTCATCTGAATTTTCTATTCTTTTTTACTAAGTATGGTGGAACCTCTCTCACTACATTATTGTGAAAACTCCCACACCATCACCATTTATTTATCTACTTATTTAGATGCACTTATGTAGCAAAGGATGACCTTGAACTTCTGATCCTCTGAGCTTCTACCTCCAAATGTGCTATGAACCATTATGCCCAGTTTACCACTTCCCCTCCATGCCCCATTTTTTAAAGGAGTTGAGTTCTCACTATGTTGCCCAGGCTGGCCTCAAATACCTGGGCTCAAGTGAGTAGCAGGTATTATAGGCACACATTTCCGTATCATTTTTATTTTGTTTTGTTATACAGTATTGGGAATGCAACCCAGGGCCTTGCCTATGCTAGGCAAATGCTCTACCACTGAGCCACATCCCTTAAAAGTGCCCTAAATTTCTTTGTTTGTTTTTGAGACAGGGTCTCCCTGTAGCTCCAACTAGCCTGGAACTCACTATGTAGACCAGGCTGGCCTCTATCTCACAGAGCTTACTTCTGCCTCCCTTGTCCTGGGATTAAAATCGTGTGCCACCACATTTGGCCCCAAAATTTTTGGATTAAATTTTGCCTTATAGCCCAAGCTGGCCTTAAACTGCTTCAAACCTCCTAAGTGTTGGGATTAGAGGTGTTCATCACAATACATGGTAACCATTTTTTAATGGCTTCATGGTATTGTGCAGTAGGGATAAAACCTGACTTTCTTTGTTGTTTTTTTTTTTTTGAGACAAGGTCTCACTATAGCCCTCACAGGCCTGGAACTATGTAGACCAGGCTGGCCTTGATGTCACAGAGATTCACCTGCCTTGAATTATTTAAATAACACTTGCTTGGTGTTTTTTTTGTTGTGGTTGGTTGGTTGGTTTGAGACAGGGTCTCACTGAGTAGCTCTGACTAGCCCTGAATTCACTATGTAGAACATTCTGGCCCTCTTCCCAAGTGCTGTGACTAAAGCCATATGCCATCATGCGGGGCCCTTGACTTTTTTTTTCTTTAATTCCAGATGAACATTGCCCTCATACCTGATTGTTTGTTTTGTTTTGTTTTTTGTTTTTTTGGTCTTTTTGAGACAGGGTCTCCCTGTAGCCCCAGGTGTCTTGGAACTCATTATGTAGACCAGTCCGGCCTTGAATTCACAAAGATCCGCCTGCCTCTGCCTCCTGGGTGCTGGGATTAAAGGTTTGTGCCACCACACCCGGCTTTTTTTTTTTTTTTTCCTTAAGATAATCCTTTAGTGTGGCCATGCTGAGACAGTACAGGTCCACCTCTGACACCTTGGTTTCTGTCATTACCCCATCTTACCCTAGTAGCTCAGTCAGTCTGCTTTGGATGGAACACTTCCCCAATGTATCCAGAGGTCTCTTGGCTGCCTGCTGTGAGGCAAAGAGAAGAGAGAAGCTGTCTAACTCTGGGTCCCCTGCCCACTTTCCTCATCCCACCAGGAGGAAGACCATGTGTGGCACTCTGGACTACCTGCCCCCAGAGATGATTGAGGGGCGTATGCACAATGAGAAGGTCGATTTGTGGTGTATAGGGGTGCTCTGCTACGAGCTGATGGTGGGGAACCCTCCCTTTGAGAGCCCTACTCACAACGAAACATATCGTCGGATTGTCAAGGTGAGATGGCTGCCTAGGTTTTATATTCTGCAGAAGCCAGGGGCTGTAGGTTGGCAGAGCCAATTTACAGGGCTTTTAAATTTTATTTATTTATTTTTATGTGTTTGTTTTGCCTGCATGTATGTAAGTGCATCTGTGCGGACCAGAAGAGAATGTCAGATCCCCTGGAAATGGAGTTAGGGCATTGTTAGTTACCATATGAATGCTAGGAACCCAACTTGAGTCCTCTGTAACAGTAGGCTGTGCTCTTAACTGCTGAGGCATTTCTTTATCCCCTTTTATTTATTTTTGACACTTGCATACATGTATACAATGTATCTTGATCATATCTTTGACAATTTTATACATGTATACAATGTATCTTGGTCATGTCCATTCCCAGCTCCCCCTTCCTTCTCCCCATGTTCTTCCTACTTTCATGTCCTCTTTTTTTATTTTTTATTTTATTATTTTTTATTTTTATTTTATGTGTATGACGGTGTTGCCTGTATGTATGTAAGTGCACCCATGCCATGCAGTGCCTGAGGATGTCAGGAGAGGGCTTCAGAACCCCTGGAACTTGAGTTGTAGACAGTTGTAAGCAGCTGCCATATGGGTGCTGGGAATTGAACCCTGGTCCTTTGTGAGAGCAGCCAGTACTCTTAACCGCTGAGCCATCTCTCCAACCCTCCTCTTTTTCTTTTTATAACCCAGTGAGTTCAGTTTATTCTGCCTGCATGAGCATGAGCAACCCACCAATGACCATACTCAAAGAAAAATGACTATCCTTACCCCAGCAGCCATCAATTGCCAAGTCCTCAGCAAGGGGTTGCAGAAGATTCTTGATAGAATGAGTCCAGGAAAATGTGATCCAGATGCTGCAGGATGAAGTTTTTTCTCCTTTTTCCACATATACAGGTGGACCTGAAGTTCCCCACTTCTGTGCCCATGGGGGCCCAGGACCTCATCTCCAAACTGCTCAAGCATAACCCCTCTGATCGGCTACCCCTGGCTCAAGTTGCAGCCCATCCTTGGGTCCAGGCTAACTCACGGAGGGTGCTGCCTCCCTCTGCCCTTCAGCCTGACTCTTGACTTTTGTCCCTGTCATTTGCTCAGTTTTGTCTCTTTGTATATCTGTATATGTGGTGGGAAGGAGAGGGTGTTAGCTTGTGCCTTTATTTGTTTCTTATCTCCTTTTTATTTAATAAAGGCTGGAGCTTTTTGTACTTGTGACTGGAGAGGTTTCTAGACAGAGTCTTCACTGCAGAGGATCCTATCAGTTGGGGCAGGGGAGGGATCTCTCCTACCTTGGTGGCAAGAGATGATTACTGCTTCATCACCCCTGGCAACACCCCATCCTCTTAGCTCTGACTCCACCCCTGTCAGCTCCCAGCCACCCCACAGCCTCTTGCCCTTGTTCTGACTCCCAGAGTCTAGAGGTGGGAGACCTTAGTTCCCACTGCTATACTTGGTCATCAGTCATCTCTGTCCACTTTTCCCTGACTTCTAGTTGTTTCTTCCCCAACTCTTTGCCAGCCTAGGAGCACCCAGCATGACTGTACCCTAGAAGTTCTTTTGTTTTATTGCTAGCATCAAGACATAGTATTGAAGCAAACAGAAGCAGTGCTGGCTTTCCAGATAAGTATGGTACGAGGCATCTCCCAGGCCGTGTTCTGTTGTGTGCTGGGATCTCACCATGCAGTCAAGGCTGTCCTCAAAATGGCAGTCTTTCTGCCTAGCCTTTTACAGAGATGCACTATGATGGCTGACTTGAGGACTTAGGTTTTTAGTCAATACCCTTCACATAGAAAGAAGACCTGATCCTAGTTTACTAATCTCTTTTTAATGACTATTGGATTTTAGTCAATCTGGGGGTTGCTTCGGTAAATTTTATTTTTGTTCTGCGTGTTGGATTCCTAGGACAGCTATTAACAAACTGTACAAACTTGTTGATTTCAAAGAATAAATTTATTCTGTCACTCTTCTGGAAACTCAAAACCCGAGATCAAGATGGAGGAAGTACCGAACTTCCTTAAAGGCTGGAAGGAGAACCTTTTCTTGCCTCTTGTAGTGTCAGTGGTTCTAAATACTTCTTGTACCTACTGAACTCCAATCTCTGTCTTCACCTTTGCATGGCATTTCCCTCCTCTCCCTGCCTCTCCTCTGTGTCTTATTGAACACTTCTTTGATTTAGGGCCTGTCCAAATAAATCAGCAGGCTCTCCTTTCAAGATCCTTACTTACACCTACAAAGACAGTCCCCCTCCCTGCCCCCCCCCAAAAAAAATCACATTCAAAGCCAGGCATGGTAGTATATGCCTGTAATCCCAGCAATTGTGAGGCAGAGGCAGACAGATTGCCACAAATTGGAAGCCATCCTAGTCCTAGCAAGTTCCAGGTCACCCAGAGCTACAGAAAGGCCACCCAGAGCTAAGAAAATAGGGGAGGGGGGGCGGAATCTTATTCATAGGCTCCTGGCTGTTTTTTCTTGCTTTTAGTATTTTAGTATTTAGCCTGTTTTAAACTGAGAAAACTTGTAGTAGTCTATATTTGGGAAAAATGATCTATCACAAAGCATATTTTATTTTTTTACTTTTAATTTTTTAAAATTTTTATTTTACATGTATATGTGTATTGCCTGCATGTATGTGAGTGAACCTGTGTCGTGCAATGCCGCAGAGGTCAGAAGAGGGCTTCGGATTCCTCTGGAACTGGAGTTAAGGATGGTTTGTAGCTACCATGTGGGTGCCGGGAATTGAGCCCAGGTCCTCTACAAGAGCAGTCAGTGCTCTTAACTGCTGAGCCATCTCTCCAGCCCCACAAAGCATATTTTATAATAAAGTCTTAAATATTTCAAGGTTTTGAATATTGTATTGGAAGTGAAAAATAGTTTTATTGGTTCACTTTGGCAACATTGTAAAATCAAAAATCATCAAAAGTTGGCCTGGCATGGTGGTACATGCCTTAGAATACCAGCACTCAGGAGTCTGAGGTAGAAGGATCACAGTTTGAGGCCAGCCTGATCTACATATCAAGTTCCAGGCCAGACAACTACAATCAAGACCCTGTTTTGAAAAGTCAAACATGGGCTGGAGAGATGGCTCAGCCATTAAGAGGACAGGCTGCTCTCAAAGAGAGCCTGGGTTCTGTTCCTAGGACCCGTATCAGGCAGCTCACAACCTATAAGTCCAGTTCCAGAGGATCTGACACACTCTTCTGGCCTCTGTGGGCACCTGCACACACATGGTACACATACACTCAGACACACATACACACACAAAATTAAAAATTAAATCTTTTAAAAATATTTTTTGATTATTTTTATTTTATGTATATGAGTGTTATGCCTGCATGTAAGTAAATGCACCCATGTTGTGCAATGCCGCGGAGGACAGAAGAGGCTGTCAGATCCCTTGGAACTGGAGTTAGGACAGTTGTTAGCTGCCATGTGGGTGCTGGGATTTGCCCCCGGGTCTTCTGCAAGAACAGTCAGTGTTCTTAACTGCTGAGCCATCTCTTCGGCACCCTCCCCCCCAAAAAAAATTCAAATGTGAATCAAGCCAGGTATGGTGACCCATGCCTTAAATTTCAGCATTTAGGAAGCTGAGGGAGCAGGATTGCAGTGAATTCAAAAGCCAGGTTAGTTAACATAGTGAGTTCCAAGCCATCCTTGGCTATAAGGTCTCAAAAAATAAAACCAGGGGAATTGTTACTTTAGATTGTTGTGGTTCCCTATTTGGGGCATGAGTAGATGATTGTTCATGTCACCTGAGGAAAAGTTCATGCAACAAGAAGTTCATTGCTTTTCCCTTGCCAGAATAATGCTTCAGGTTATCAATATCTATATTGATCTGATGTGACAATACCCTGGCCAGAGTGACTAAACTGGGTATGTCAACCAACTTCTCTTACCACCACTGGAAGGAAGATTAACTCCATATTCTTATGAGAGACCTAATGGAAGCTATTCCTCCCTTTTATGGAAAGTGTGGAAGTTTATCAGTCTGTGTTCCTGGATGCATGCAACAGAAAACAAGTGTGGTCCATTAAAGGCATCCTGAGTAGTTCAGAGTCTTAAGTGGTATTGTAGGATCAGGCTTGAATTCTACACAGCGTAGAAAAATACCCCTGCCCAAGTGGTCTAACAGATCCCAAGGGAGTCTGATTCATGTGGTAAGGAAGCTGGGAAAGTACTAGTTGGTACTTCATTTGTAGTCAGAGATGGACTCTTCTTTGCAAGGTGTGAATCCTCAAACACTGATTCAGACCCTAGGAGGCCAAAAAGAATGAAAACTAAAAGGACAAGGGGCTGGAGAAATGGCTCAGCAGTTAAGAGGACTGGCTGCTCCTGCAGAGGACCCAGTTCAGTAACCAGCACCCACATGGCAGCTAACTCCAGTTTCAGGGGCCCTCTTCTGTCCTCTTTGGGCATTGCATGCACATAGTGCAGGCAAAATGCTCATACACACAAAATAAAAATTAAAAAATTGAAGAAAGAATGCTGGACACCTTTTTTAAAAAGGTGCTGGATATATGGTGTTCAACCTGGAATTCAACCATGTTTTTAGAGACTGCGGCCAGAAAGCGTTACATAGTGATGCCCTGTGGGCTAGAGGTTGTGGCACATGCCTGTAATCAACATGACTCATGCCTGTAATCAAAGCATTTGGAAGGTAGAGATAGGGGGATTAGGAGTTCAAGGTCATTTTTGGCTACATATCTAGTTCAAGGACAGCCTGGGCTACTGACACCCAGTCTCAAAAAAAAAAAAAAAGCAAGCAAGTGACAGCCATCTTGTTATAAGGAAGCTCCTTACAGAAATCAGGTCCTTAACGAAAGTCTTGGCTATTGAATTTAGGCTTCTCTGACGCTCACTCTGTCTTTTCTGCGGTACTGGGGTTGAACCTAGAGTCTCACACATGCTAGGCAAGTGCTATACTACTAAGCAATATCACCAACCCTCTTTTCACTTTTTGAGATGGGGTCTTATGCCCAGGATAGCTTTAAACTTGTCCTAGTTTGTTTCTCCTTTGCTATGACAAGATACTCCGGCCAATACCAACTTGGGGAGGAAAGGGTTTATTCAGCTTACATCTCCCAGGTCACAGTTCATCAGGGAGCCCAAGGTAGGAACTCAGGGCAAGAACCTGGAGCATAGGCCATGGAGGAATGCTACTTACTGGCTTGTTCCCCCTGGCCCTTGCTCAGCTTGCTTTCTTATGCAACACAGGTTCACCTGCCCAGGGGTGGCACCACTCACAGTGGGCTGGGCCCTCCCACATCACTCAGCAATCAAGAAGATCCCCGTAAACATGGCCACAGGTCAGTCCTATGGAGGCAATTCCCCCAATTGAGGTTCCCTCAACCCAGATGTGTCAAGTTGACACTAAAGCTATCCAACACAATTGTGAGTTTCCTGTCTCAGCCTCTCAAGTTTCACCAGGCTTGCCTCCTCCACCAGGTTCAACGCTCACTTGGTCTTGATAACATTATTGTATGAGACAATAAATTTCCCTTGGTGGTGGTGGTTTGGCTTGGATTTTCTGTCACTTGCTACATAAAGAGCCATATCTGATATAACATGGTGAAGAGTAAAAGAATGGCAAGGGGGAGGTCAGCTCCAGAGACGGAGGGAAAAGTTTAAAGGGCACCACAGGAGCCTACGAGATGGCTCGGCAGGTTAAAGGTACTTGCTGCCAAGTCTGATGACCTGAGTTCCATCCCTGAAACATATGTAGTGGAAGGAAAGAACTGCTGTGGAAGTTGTCCCCTGACCTCCAAAAGCACACTGTGGCATTCATGTACCCACCTCCCACTAAATGTTTTTTAAAAGTTTCTTTTAAAAGGGGCACCACAGCTGGGCGTGGTGGTGCATGCCTTTAGTCCCAGTACTCAGAAGGCACAGGCAGGTGGATCTCTGAGATCCAGCTTGGCCTGTGGCTATAGGAAGACTCTGCCAACAAACCAAAACAGGGAGGAGAAAGAGAGACTGGGATGATAGGCTGTCTGTAATCCTAGCACTTGGGAAGGACTTTTACTGGTCATGTGTTGAGTCCTATCCTGTTTCCTGAACCAATCTGTAGGCAGGAGGATGAAGTTGGCCAGTTTGGGGTCATGTGCCTATCCCTGTATGCAATCTCACCAACCATGAGTGGGAAATGTGAAGCTTTGCTTACATGAAATGTTGGGAAGTTTAATATATGTCCATTATAACCTTCATGATACTCCTACAATATGTCTACATGCCCAATTCTATTGCCCTCATGCTAGGCCGAACCACCATCAAATCCTGTATCTTGGGACCTTCTGCCTGATCTAACCTTTAGCAAACATTTTCCACAACCACCAGTAACCCCCAAATATGAACCCCATTTCTTCTGCCTGTCAAGCCTTTAGCAAACATTTTCCCCAATGACCAATAACCCTCAAATATGAACCCCGTTTCTTCTGCCTAGTCTAGCCTTTAGTAAACATTTTCCCCAATCACAAGTAACCCACAAATACGAACACCACCAGGCAGTGGTGGCACACGCCATTAATCCCATCATTTGGGAGAGGCAGGTGGATCTTTGTGAGTTTGAGGTCAGCCTGGTCTACACAGGAAACTCCTGGCCAGTGGGGGTTAATAAGACCCTGCTTCAACAAACAAAAAACAAAGCCAAATATAAATCCTGTTATACCATTTCCTTCACATATATTAAAAAAAAAAATTGTGTGTGTGGTGCAGACTGGTGTAGCCCAGGCTCATCTCAAACTCAAAATCCTCCTGCCTCAGCCTCCCTGGTGCTGAGATTACACACATGAGCCACCGTGCCTCCCTCTCAAATATAGGTGATTATATGATATAAACAGTTGACAGTTGTAGACCCCTCAGAGAGAAACAGCTATTATCATATCATGAGAGTTGGCTCCTTAAGATTGATCGAAACCTGGAGTGGGGTGTCCTGGCAGAGTCTGCCTAGTCACACTTCAGAATGCTGGTTAACATCACTGCTTCAGGCCATCGATTGGTCCAAGTAAGAGCAGCCTTCTTCCTGGTCTGTCTGAGCGTCAATGAGCCTCCATCATAAATGACGTAGTACTACCTAAACCAGAAAATTCACAACCAGCTGGCCACCTCATGGAAACAAATAGTCACTAGTGCTCTTCAAAAGGCAACAGTACCTAAGGCAAATTTGTGAAAAACGGGCCAAAACGTACACTGAATGTCATCTTTGTATTTGGATTGAAAACACATTTTAGTGTTGGCAAAGCACCTTTGGCATCATAAAGATTCCTTAGATTATGTAAAGAAAAATGAACCCAAAGACTTGCAAGAGACAATTCTTTGAGAAACAAACAAACAAAAACCCTTGAAAATAGCAGGGAGCACAAGAACAGAATGAAGAAAGCCAGCCAGCTGCCAAAGTCAAGGTGGTGCTGGTGAAAAGCAAAGTCAGGATTCAGTGCTGATACTCTGCAGTGAATGTGCAAATTTTTCACATAGGATTCCATTTTTTAAAAATGAGAAATCTCATTATCAGCTAAGGACATTAGTGAATTGTTTTAATTAAATAGGAGCTTTGGCTATATTATGCAGCTCACCACTTTTCTAGTGTCTGCTTCCTCCATGACTCTCGAAAGAAATCTCCATCCCCTAACGGAAATTACGAGTTTCTGCACCATGTGGTCCCTGCCTGCATCTTCAATCTCCATGTTGGAAACCCCACACCTCATTTTGTTTCATCCCCAGTCTTGTCTCTGTCTCCTTTCCTGGATGACACCTTTCCCACACCCCACACCGGTTTCTTGTTTCTGTCAAATCACTTCCCTCTGCCTGCAAAATAGCTTGGCTCTTTCTGGTTCTTTTCAGAGTTCTCATCAGAGGCCTTTCCTGACCCTTCGTCTAGTCCTAGGTACTAGCAATCACAACTGTTTCCTGTAGTGTTTATCAAAATTTGCGATGTTTTCATCTGTTGAATATTTTGCCGTGTGACAAAGAAAAAAAAAAAAAGCCTTATCCTCCAATGAGAGAAGCTGAATGTAATGGGGGCAGGAGGCCGAAGAGTGACAAAAGCACAGGAAAGTCTACAGGCCCTGCTACACGCTGTCCACAATGAGTCGCTCAAGGCAGTTCAACCGCCAGGCCTGTCAACCTTCAAGGATGGAACCAATCATTCACGCTCCGCTGAGAATTCGGGCTTTATCTTTCTTGGTCAGCGAGCTAGGTGTGCTCCAACCCTGAGAATCCAAGCTGGATACACGATTTCCATCCCAAGACTTTCTAGGAACCCCAAGAATGATCCACACTTGAGTGCAATTGCTAAGCAGTAATTGTGAGCGAAACAACAGTGGGCGCAGCGTCCAGGCTGCGCCCCCGCGGGATTCCAGCGTTTCAGGATCTGGATCTTTCACGGTCTGCCCCCACAACTTTCCAAAAAGGCGGGGCGACGGCCACAGCTGTCACCTCCCGGCGTCTACGCGGCCAGCTTTCACGTGTGCTGTGCAGTTCAATAACAGCTCTTCTTCCGGGACTTCCTTCCGCAGCGGCCAATCCCAGAGTCCTTCCTGTCCGAACCATTATCAGCCGGCAGCCAATCAGCGCGCAGCTATCAACGCCCCTTAAAGGCGCCGCGGCGGCCGGGGAGCCCCTGGTGGGCCGGGTCCCGGGTGGCAGTATGGAGGCGGCCGGGGGGCGAACCCGGCCCGAGGCGGACGCCTTGGCCGTAGCGGAACCGCAGGCCGTGAGCTCCAGTGGCGGGCTGGGCCGCACACCCTCGAAGCCGCCTCCAGGGCCGAGGGCGTCTGGGGAGGAAGAGGCTGAGAACGTTGGGGTCGCGAGCCGTCACTCTCTTGAGTCCCCGGAGACCTGGAGTAGCAGCGCCGTCCACTGGCCCGAGCCGGACTCCGGGGAGGACGAGTCCGGCTCCCGAGCGACGCCAAGTGGGATCGGAGGCCGCCGGGGGGCGCCAGGGCCCGGGCACAAGCCGCCCCTGTCCTCCGCGCACCAGGACCCGGCGCCGCCCGGGGACCCGCCTGTTTCCGGGAGCGAGCGCCGTCGGGGAAGCCCGGGCGGAGTACAGATGAACGCAGAACGGCCGCTGCCGGAGGAGGGCGAGAAGGACGAGGCTGCGGCGGCGGCCAGAATTGGCCGCTCGTTCTCCAGCCGCCTTCAGGACAGCCGCAGCCTGGACGGGCTGAGTGGGGCGTGCGGCGGCGGGGGCTCCTCGGCGAGCGCCGAGTGCGGCGCGGGCGGGGGACGTCGTGCCACCATCTCCAGCCCTCTGGAGCTCGAGGGCACGGTGAGCCGGCATGGCGACCTCACCCACTTTGTCGCCAACAACCTCCAACTCAAGATCCGTCTTAGTGGCGCCCCTCCGGCTCTCCCTCCTGCCTCTGCGCGGCCCTGCCTAACGCCGGCACCCACTCCCACCATCCCGCCCATCGACCCGGATGTGCTGAGGGATCTGGAGCGGCTGAGTCGCGAGCTGGGCGGCCGGGTGGACCGTCTACTTCGCGGGCTGGGTGGTGCAGTGCAGGAGCTGACGGCGCTGAGCGTAGGCTGCATCCAGACCTACCGCGACGCGGTGGACTCCTTAGGCGAAGCGGTGGACATGAGCATCAAGGGCATGTACACCCTGTTGGCGCGCTGCGAGGAGCTGGAGCGGGCTCTGCAACCGGTTCAGGGACTCGCGCGCCAAGTCCGAGATATCCGACGCACTTTGGAGGTGTTAGAGGCCCTATGCAAGTGACCAGGAGCACAGAGGAGACCATGCCTGACTTGGCCAGGTCAGGGTCCAACAGTACCCTAAGGACTCCAAGGAGCCCTGGAGGGAACTGCCTGCTGGGGGGAGACCTGTGCATTAGAGGTTCTTCCACAAGCATTTAACTGGCCCTGTGCCTACTCATGAGCCTAAGGAGTGAGGATGGGGAAGTTCTAAAAGTTCTCCTTGTGGGAGGGGATTTTGCTCTGCTTCTATTCAGTTGGCCATCTATAGCTACTCTGTTCTTCCTTTTTCCCTAGCTAGAATGCCATCTTGGGACTATAGGCCCTTAGATCTCTGCTGGAGGGTGGAGGCAGGACCCCCCCCCCACCATGTGTGCTCAAAAGGGGCCCCCAGCTCAATTGTAGCTATCCTGATCCCAGTGGCCGGATCTCAGGTGCCAGGAGCTTTAGAAGCTTGAGTGGCCCTTGGCCACACACCATGCAGGGGTGGACACACACCTGCTGGAGGATAACCTCTGGCTTCATCCCTCTAGTTCCCTACAATAACCATGGGGTGGAGCTTTGCATGGTGGAAGGAGTGAGGTAGGAGGTGTCTCACTGCTCAGGGTTCAGGACGAATTGTTGCTGGTTTTGAAGCCCACCTGTTGTGGAGTATTCTAATCAGTTTTGGCTTTCTGAGTTTTTGTGGAATTAAAGTGCTGCTGCTGCTGCTAAGACTGACCCTGTTTGTGTGTGGTGTTGTAGGGGTTGACAAGCCAAAGGAATGGGAATGAAGGTTGGACTGGTTTCTGGAGCACCCTGGGGGTGGGGTCCGGGAGTGTGATGGAGGTGCCAGGCTAGATGGAGATGGAGATGGAGATGGTTCCTGCTGTTGGAGACAGATCTGAAGAAGATAATCACACACAGGGGTCCAGAGATCCAGTAAAAGCAGAAACACAAGCTAGGTTCTCTAGACAAGGGGGGAAGGGGCTCTCAGATCTGGATGGGCAGGCTGGGCTGATCTTGGTTTTGGAGGAAGTTATAAACTATTGGCAGTTCTATCCTGACAATTTGCCACTTTGTGCTGATCAGTCTCATGTATAATGATTTGAGACAATTTTATCCCAGTCAGTGGCACTGTCTTCTCTTTACAATTTACATGGTAAATTTGGGAACATGTTATAAGAACTCTAAAACCATACCACAGTTGTATTTCCTTCCACCCACCCCTAGACACAACCATATTTTGGACCTGATTCAGATACATCTTTCAGTGCAATTTTTTGTGAGAAGTGTTTAAGGATTAGAGATACTGCATTATGAAGTTTTACTTAAGTATCCATTTTCAAAAATCTATAAAGGCCAGCCTGTTTAAAAAGAGACAAGCTAAAAGCTGGCCCATACGGGGATTGAACCCGCGACCTTGGCGTTATTAGCACCATGCTCTAACCAACTGAGCTAACCGGTCAATAGCAAAGACTTGCTCTTATAAATAGCCAGTAAGATGAACAAGGTCGCTCATGCCTTTAATCCCAGCACTCGGGAGGCAGAGGCAGGCGGATCTCTGAGTTCAAGGCCAGCCTGATCTACATAGTGAGTTCCAGGACAGCTGGGGCTAAAGGGAGACACTGTCTCAAAAAGACAACAAATAAATAAATAAATAAATAAATAAATAAATAAAGATATCAATGCACAGTCTTGTTACATGAAAATCTTTCAGGATAGAGCCATTATAGAAGACGTGAAAGCAGAATATACAAGCCAGCCAAATGAGTAACCTATACAGCTATCACTCAAGAAGCGATTCTGGCGTTTGATTGCTCCTCAGGGAACGAAAAAGAATCGCAGGAGGGATAACACACAGTGACGCCCAAGCCCCTAATACAAAACTACGGCAGAGAATGGACATGGTATTTAGGTAGGGTCCAAAGAATTTTCTAATGTGTAAAAATCAAAAGAAATCACAAAGGCACCGCTGGGATTCGAACCCAGGATCTCCTGTTTACTAGACAGGCGCTTTAACCAACTAAGCCACGGCACCCACATAAGCCTAGTACATCTTCACTACTTGGCCAGATTAAAACCATGGCAGACGAAAATCTGGGAAGCAATGTTTACCCGTGCTGGAAATATAATTGAAAGGATGAGATGCACGGATAGGAGAAACTGTTAGGATGACAGGGGCATCGATTGTGAGGCTACAGGATGACGAAGGGCAAAACTGAATACAACACCAGCAATCGCTCAACGACGAGGATGGGATTCGAACCCACGCGTGCAGAGCACAATGGATTAGCAGTCCATCGCCTTAACCACTCGGCCACCTCGTCCACAAGATAATGCTGAAGCTTCTCGTCTCTGAGACCTGAACTCTGTCCTGTTGGTTGGGTTCCTTGTGCAGAAGAGTACATTTTCAGGGAGTTTGTACAAGCAGAGCGATTCGCGGTGCAGAAACCCAGCAATCCCCTGGCAGGCGCGAACGCCATACGCTCCAGCTGCGCCTGTCCCTGGGAGCCCCTCTCTGCGCCCAGAATTACTTGGATTATCCGCAAAAAAAAAAAAAAGTCTGCGCTATCACTGAGCTACAGTGAGTGTGACAGGGCGACGTCAAGATTTGACACCGGAGCCTTACCTTTCTTGTTCTTCACCAGTCTATCCTCATCTTAAAAGTTTGTTTCCATCAAGGTTCAGTCTCCTCTCCATATGCTACACATGTTTCTATTAGTTTTCCTTCCGGGCTAGCCTCGAAGGAAAAAAAAGAAATATACCGTAAGCCAGCTGACCCCGACGTGATTTGAACACGCAACCTTCTGATCTGGAGTCAGACGCGCTACCGTTGCGCCACGAGGCCGGCCGGCCAACTTGCTGTACAGGTCTTCTCTTGACTGTTGTAAGAGGACCCAAGTCACTGCGTTCCTGGAAATCCACCGAGTGGAGACTGCGCTTTTGGAGCAGACAGATTCTCACCTCTGGCTCAGTGGTATCCCCGGGATCCCTTTGAAGACCTTGTGGGTGGCGCTCAGTGAACCCCCGCCCCCGGATCCCGTCCCAAAGGAAACCATTGATCTGATTACATTATCATACTGCTCAGGCCTGGCCTTAAAAATTCAATCAGTCCTAGTCTTAATGAATCCAGGCTGACGCTGGTATGTTGGCCTACCCCCTTCACCAGTCTGTCCTCATCTTAAAACTTTGTTTCCATCAGGGTTCGGTCTCCTCTCCATATGCTACACATGTTCTCTGTCTTCAGCTGCCAACCCTGCACTCGCTCCTGTGTCCAAAGAAGAGTGCGTAGAGCCAACCTCGCGGCGCAGTTTTGGACCCAGGTGTTTGGCGACTGCTGGACACCTTCCCTTCCCTTGTCATTTCTTTTTCCCAGGCCTTCTGCATGCGCCATGACTGTAAAAGCTGAAATGGAGATTCGTTCTCGACCCTTTCCTCTTCCTCACATCTCATTTCCAGCCTCTAAGTCCTGTCCATTTCGTTCCTTTAGGAATTCTGTCAGCGCCCATTCCCCATCCCCATTCCATTCCCTCAGCCTCCCTTGCAGGCACTTTGTATCAGACTCCTCTCTGATCTTTTGGCTCAGGAAGTCTCTAAATGCAAACATGATTCCATCATTCATTGGCTTAAAATCACAGGCTCTTTGCGTTCTGGATTAAGTCTTACCCTCTTGGATGGGCCCATAGGGACAAGAAGTAAAGCTCAATTGTTAACAAGCATTGGCTCTTCATACACAGTTCATAAACAGCCTACTTACATTTGTGTAATCTTATTTTTACTTTAAAAAAAAAAAAAAAAAAAAAAAGATAAGCCTCTCACTAAGTTTCCAAAGCTGGCCTTGAACTTGCAATCATTTGGCTTCTACCTCCCTAGTGCTAGGATTCTAGAAAAGCTGGGCCCAAATTAGCTTCAAAGTTCTGGTCCTTTTTTTGGGGGGGGGGTTGTTTTGAGACAGGTCCTTACTCTGTAGTTCTGGCTGGGCTGGTACTATGTAGTTCATGCTGGCCTTGAATTTTGAAGTCCTCTTGCTTCAGCCTCCCATGTACTGGGAAGAGCTACCAACTGGTCTTTTCTTTTCTTTTCCTTCCTTCCCCCTCTCCTGCTTCTTTTGTTCTAGAAATGAACAAGGCCTATTACATGCTAGGCAAGCAACTTCTCCACTGAGCTACATCCTTAGCACCTTTGTATCGTTTTCAAATGGTCCCAATTGTCCTTGTACGACTGTCTATAGTATTGCTTGATGGTCTTTTGAAATACTTATTTTAAACCTGTTTGGCCCTTTCATGTCACTCAACTCAGAATCACCTTCTTCCTCACTTCAGGGGAATCTTTCCTATATCTCCTCCAAGATAACATTGGAAATGTTACTTACTTTGTTTTGTGTTGAGACAGGGTCTCACTCTGTAGCCCAAGCTGACCTGGAACTCCTGACCACCTTCCTCCCTCAGGCTTCCAAGTGCTGGGATTGTGTTAGACTTTTTATTTTCTGCCAGGGTCTTACTAAATTGCCCAGGCTAGACTTCTTCTATAGCCCAAGCAGGCTTTGAACTTTCAGTTTTCTATCTTCAGTCTCCCAAGAAGCTGTGATCACAAGCTTGTGCCTCCTGAGTGAAACTGTTGTTTTTTTGTTTTTTAAGAGGGAGATTCAGGAGGCAGGTGGATCTCTGTGAGCTCAAGGCCAACCTGGTCTACATAGGGAGTTCCAGGCCAGCTGGGGCACCAGGGAGACCCTGTTTCAAAAAGACCAAAAAAAAAAAGAGGGAGAATCAGACATAATCCTTTATTTTCTATTCAAATATTATTGGGAAATGCCTTGTAATCACAGCACTAGGGGAGAGTGCGGCAGAAGAATCTCAAATTCAAGGCCAGCCTGAATAGAGTCAGACACTGTCTGGGAAGAAAAAAGAAAGAAAAAAACAGGTATGGTGGCACACTTTCAATCCTTGCACTCCAGTGAATTAGAAGCCAGCCTGGTCTACATGGCAAATTTAGTAGTAGTGAGATTCTGTAAAAAAGTCAGGCATGCTAACACATGCCTTTAATCCCAGCATTTGGGAGGCAGAGGCAGGCAGATCTCTGTGAGTTCCAGGCCAGCCTGGTCTACATAGCGAGTTCCAGGCCAGCTGGGGCTACAGGGAGACCCTGTCTCCAAAAAGAAGAATAAGAATAAGAATAAGAAGAGGAGGAGGAGGAGGAAGAGGAGGAGGAAGAGGGAGGGGAAGGAGAAGAGGAGGAGGAAGAGGAAGAGGAGGAAGAAGGAGGAGGGGAGGAGGAGAAAGAGAAGCAGGAGGAAGGAGGAGGAAGAGGAAGAGGAAGAAGAGGAGGAAGAAGGAGGAGGAGAAGAAAAAACTATGGGTGAAGGCAGAAGCAAGAGGATCAGGAGGTCAAGGCTATCCTTCGTTACATAGTGAGTTTGAGGCCTATTTGTTTGTTTTGAAGGGTAAGCCAAGACCCCAAAAATGGTTCTGTGTAACAAAAGGTAGAGTGACACTGACACCCCTAGATGTACTTTATTTTGTAGGTTTTTACTTTTGCATCATGTAAATGTTTGCTATAGTTATAAAACACAATTGTAAAGTTAAGATGATGGCCTGGGGGCTGGAGAGATGGTTCAGTGGTTGAGAGTCCTGGCTGCTCTTACATAGGACAGGTTGGGTTCTCAGCACCCACATGGTGACTAACAACCATCCTTAACTCCAGTTCCAGGGGATCTGACATCCTCTTCTGACCTCCTCAGGCATTGCATGACACGGTGCACTGACATACACATAGGCAATACACTCATACACATAAAAAATAAAAAAAAATTTTAAAATGGTAGAGCCAAGTGTGATGGTGCACACCTGTAATCTCAGCATTTAGGAGCCAGAGGCAGGTGGATCTCTGTGAGATCTAGTCCATACTGGTCTTCATAAAGAATTCCAGGCCAGCTGGAGCTACAGGGAGACTTCATCTAAAAAAAACCAAAAAAAAATTTTTAATATTTGATTATTATTTTATGTGTATGAGTTTATTGCCTGCATGTGTGTAAATACACCTGTGTTGTGCAACACCCTCAGAGATCAGAAGAGGGAGTCAGATCCCCTGGAACTGGAGTTACAGACAATTGTTAGCTGCCATGTGGGTGCTGGGAAATTAATCTGGGTCCTCTGCAAGAGCAGCCAGAGCTCTTAATCGCTGAGCCATTTCTCTAGACCAAGAGATTTTTTTTTTTTTTTTTTGTACTTTTGAAGCAGGGTCTCCCTGTAGCCCCAGCTGTCCTGGAACTCACTATGTAGACCAGGCTGGCCTTGAACTCACTGAGATCCGCCTGCTTCTGCCTCCCAAGTGCTGGGACTACAGGCATGCGCCACCACGCCTGGCTAAGAAATTATTATTATTATTTTTTTAAAGATTTGTTTTCTGTGTATGAGTGTTTTGTTTGCATGTATGTATGTGAACCATAGCTGTGCCTGGTACCACAGAGGCCAGAGAGAGTGTTGGGTCCCCTGTGGAGTAACAGGCAGTTCTGAGATACCATGTGCATGCTGGGAATTGAATCCAGCTCCTCTGCAAGTGATCTTTTTAAGAAAATATTTGCTTATGGGGCTGGAGAGATGGCTCAGCGGTTAAGATTGCAGAGGACCTGGGTTCGATTCCCAGCACCCACATGGTGGCTCTGAACAACACAGGTGCACTCACATACATGCAGACAATACGCTCATACACATAAAACAAAAATAATAAAGTATTTAAAAAAGATTTTTAAATGCTTATTTTTATTTTGTGTACATGTGTTTTGCCTAGATGTATTTAAGTGCACCATGTGCATGCAATGCCTACAAGGCCAGAAGAGGGCATCAGATCCCCTTGAATGGGAATTACAAACCATTGTTAGCTGCCTTGTGGGTTCTGGGAGCTGAACATGGGCCCTCTGGAAAAGCAGCCACTGAGCCATCTCTCCAGCCCCAAGAAGTAATCTTATATGAAAATGTAATTATATAGTTTGACTATCTAGGGGCTTGAGTGTAGCTCTGTAGTACAATTCTTACCTAGCATGTTCCAGGACCTGAATTTGATCCTCAATATATAGGAGTTAAATATATAGGGACCTAGCTGGGCAAGGTGGTACATGCCTTTAATCCCAGCACTTGGGAGGCAGAGGCAGGTTGATCTCTATGAGTTCAAGGCGAGCCTGGTCTACATAGGGAGTTCCAGGCCAGCTGGGGCTCCAGGGAGACCCTGTCTCAAAAAGCCCAAAAAACACCCCCAAAAACAAAAAGACACCCCCCCAAAAAGAATATATATATATATATGAAGCGTCAGTGCTGGAAACTCTTCCTTATGTTTTATAATGCTGTTTCATGTGTCAATGATAATACTGTATGAGACTCAGAAATGAACTGGGTACAGTGGTGCATACCTCTAGTCCCAGCATTTGGGAAGCAGAGGCAGGTAGATCTCTGTGAGTTCATAGTCCAGTCATGGTGACATAGCAAGTTCCAGGCCACCCAGGGCAACATAGTGAGACTCAAAACAACAAAACAAAAAACCCAGAAGGGAGAGTGGGAGTGTAGCTCAGTAGTAGAGTGCTTGCCTAGAATGTATGAGGTCTGAGGTTTGATCTCCAGCACTGGAAAAAAAAAAAGTCAGGAAATTGACACTTCTACAATGCTATCATAACTACATTCCACTTGTTGTCCCTTAGAATAAAAACAAAAACAAAACAACAAAAACAACAACAACAACAACAAAACCCTTTTCTTTTCCCTGGTCTGGGGATCTCTTATTAAAGTTGCCATGCCAGATTTGTTGCTTTTAGTTTGAAGGAACTCCTCAGTCTGTCTTTCATAATTTTTGACAAAATATTTTGGCTTTCGTTGCTGCTATTTGATAGGTAAAAAGTTGGCGGAGAATGAGCGAATGGATGATGAGGCACCGAGGCACAGCTAAAACTCCATCAAAATAGGGTTTATTAGCAAAGGAACACATGGGACAGATTCCCTTCCGGGCAGGGAAAATGTTTGCCCACGGATTGTGAGCTGGGGTTTATATATGGGGGCTTCAGGGTGCTGAAGGTGGGAAGTTTCTTGGGAAAAATTAGTGGGGGGGGGCAGGAAAAGCAAGGCTTGTAAGCCAGGATCTGGGTCAGGAAGTGTTTACTTTTTTGTCCTCCTAAGACAAGGGAAAAGCTGTTGTACTAAAACGGCTCCTAAAAATCTGTAGTTAACAGGCAGAATCTGCTTGTCTTCCTAGAACAGAGGAAAGGCAGGCTGCCTCTTACAAAAATCTGCTTCCCTTGACTTCAAAGGCCAAGGTGCTTATTAGCTCAGTTCCCTTTTTCAGGCTTGAAAATCCAAAGTCCATAGGACCCTGTTGGGGAGGGGGGAAGCTGCTGCTGTTTGAAACCCTAATACTACTGTTGTTTGAGACACAGTCTTCTTGTAGCCCCAGCTAGCCTAGAACTGGCTATGTAGACCAGGGTGGTCTTATTCTCACAGAGATCTGTTTGCCTCTGCTGAAAGTTTTTTTTTTTTTTTTTTTTTATCCTGTTCCACCCCCATCCCCCTTTGAGCTCTGAGTTTTTTTCACCCGCTACTATAGACTTCGGGAGACAGAAACAAATTTCTGTTCGTTAGTCAAGTTCTTTAAAATTCAGGAATGGTCCATTTTCAAAACCTTTTCTTTGATGTTATTGTCACCCTCCTAAAATTTTATTTATAGCCTCTATTACCTTGCTCTGTGTGTGTGTGTGTGTGATCTCTCTCTGCCTATAACATAAACTGGAGGGAGGGACTCTAGTCTTATTTATCAATCTTATTTACCAACCAGAGCGCCTGGTGCTTAAGAGACAGTCAAATATTTGTTGAATAATAAAATCAGAAATGCCTCTGAGCCTTGTCGTTTAGACTGGCATAAAGGCACTCAGCAAAGGGCTTAGAGGTCCCTTGAATGGGACTCAGCTGTGAGCCACGAAGTGGGGAGAACTTTCCGATCTGCAGGGATTTCACTTGAAGCCCTAAGTCACTCAAGGTCACCTTATTAAGAGGTTCTTGGTCTGTAAGTGGGCAATGACCAGGGCCCGACATCTCAAAGCGTCCCAGTCTGCTTTAAGCCTCCCAGGGACTCAGAAGTTATTCCAGTCCCTAGCTGTGCTTCTCACCCTTTCTGGACCAGTGAGGATCCACTCCGTTCTCAAACACGCATCTCACCTACATCCTATTGGAACAGTTCCAAGGGTTGATTGACACTTTGCTGCTCTCGGCAAGTCTCTCATTAAATTGAGGCAAGCTGTCCCGGACGAAATCAGTCTCCCTTAAGGAAGGTTTAGATCTGGGGTGACTGAGAGCCAAGCTAGGCACATCCGCCTCTCCCGGTTGGATCCCTTGTCTCCTCCCGCCCAAGGTAGTGGGAAGCTACCCGTAAACAGAGAAGGGGGCCTTCGGCTAGGCGGGGGTCGCCATGCGGGGACGCTCAGCCTGGTTTCGCATCTCGCCCGGGTACTCAAGCAGGAGCCAGCTGCTCTATCGCGAGACTTCCAGAGGCTGCGAGGCATCGCGAGACACAGTTACCAAGGCAACTGGGCGGCCCCGGAGCCGCGGGAAGAGGCTTAAGCTGAGTTCTGGCCTGCTTGACCTGGGGACTTCAGGAGTGAACCTCCTTGGGCTTCCAGCCTCCAGAACCACGGCCTCTGTTCAGGACTGGGGTCCTTGTCCCCAGAAGCCATGGGTCGGATCTCTGGGCTCGTGCCCTCTCGGTTCCTGACACTCTTGGCTCATCTGGTGATTGTCATCACCTTGTTCTGGTCCAGGGTAAGACGGGGGTGTGCCCTCCTGCTGCTGTCATTCTCATCTCAGAGTGAACCACCCCATCCCTCATGGACCCAGGGTCCTACCCCTGGGTTGCGCTGACTCCACGCCCGTCCCCGCAGCCCGTCCCTCTTTCACTTTTGTTCCTTTGTTCCCGGCTCATCAGGAAAGCAACATCCAAGCCTGCCTGCCTCTCAGGTTCACCCCCGAGGAGTATGAGAAGCAGGACGTCCAGTGAGTTTTTGGGAAGGGATGAACGCAGAGGTGGTGGGAGTAGAAGGGTCTTAAAGAAGTGCAGAAGTTCTGACCCAGCCCCTTTCTTCTCTGCAGGCTGGTGGCCTCTCTCTGTCTCACCCTGGCCCTCTTTGCAGTGGAGCTGGCCGGCTTCCTCTCAGGAGTTTCCATGTTCAACAGCACCCAGAGCCTCCTCTGTATCCTTTATGCCTGCCCACCGTCTCCATGTGACTCACAGCCATCACAACTCTTTCTAGCTACCTCAGGCCTTTCTGGCACAAAAGTCTCTGAACTAGGTGGCAAGCCGAATCTCTCCAGGTGAGAGAGCTTAGGCAGTGTGACGGCATTAATAGTCTTCAAACGTTTGTTAAGCCCTCCTCTGGATGGGAGTAAAACCCTTTTCTCCCCCTTGAGAGGGAGGTACACACACACATCTGTAAGTCAGTGTGATAAACACAAAGCTATTGGAGTGTATAAAGTACAAAGCACTCTGAGAACTCAGGAGGGACGGAGAAAAATGAGGCACATAGTAAGACTCCTGAGCTTTGAATTGTGGACCAGGAGGACCAGGGCCCTGGAGAGATTCCTGTAATGTATCAAGTCTTTCAGCTTCTTGTGTGGTCTAGGGTAGGCATGGAATTGTGCAAGGTTGCCCCTAGAGATAAGTCAGGGTAAGCTCAGCCCCTTAGTTACACAGCTGTCCAGGAATTCAGAAGGTATGGCTGCTGCTGGCTGTGGCACCTTCAGTAGGACGAGGGAACAAGAGATGAACCTGGGTTCAGGTACCAGCGTTTTGGGGCCCATCACCATCTGTGATCCAAAGACTTTCCTTGACTTTGGTGTATTTTTAAGCCATTGCAGCTCACTGTAGTGCGTCTGTGGCTCTGTCCTTCTTCATTTTCGAACGTTGGGAGTGTACCACATACTGGTATATTTTTGCCTTTTGCAGGTGCGGTAACACCCATTATTTGAGAATGGGGTGGAAAGTCTCTCCCAAATCTGAAGGTTTTCCCCACCCAGCTTTTTCCTGTATGTATGAAATTAGTAGTGTTTTGAAGTTTAATACCCGCCCCTAAGCCCACGCCCTATACTTGTGTTTTGGAGATTTGCGTGTTTGTATTGGGAGGGGTCCTAAACCCACCCACTGACTTCCACAGCGCCGTCCCGGCTGTCACTGAAACGGCATTATTCATCGCTGTCTTTGGGCTGAAAAAGAAACCTTTTTGATCATGATGATGGGAACGTAGAGAGAAGGCTGGACAACGGGTGAGCCTCCCAGGTTCCTGGAAGAAGGAAGGCATAGACTTCACCACTCATCGGCCCCTCCCAGCTGCTTCTGTTAGCGGATGATGGAGTTGGAATAATTATTTCTCAAATCTTGGATTCTAATTTTTCATTTATAGTTTTGTAATAAAATCTATTTTATAGTAAGAGCAAGACTGACAGTTTTTTCCGGAAGACAATTGGATGGGTTAAGAAGCTGGTGTAAAGAAAGGTTGTTTTCCAGCCTTTACTGGCTGGGAGACAGCAGGGGACGCTTCTATTCGGAGTTTTGAGGTAGAAGACGAGCGGAAGTGAGTGGGCGGGGATATGTAAATAACAGCGCAGAGGGTTCGCGCTTTTAGTATGTCGTATGTGAGCGGAGCATTCTGGGAGGGATTCGTTTCTCGTTTTTTGGCAGTCAAATGAAAAATAAATTACTTTAGAAGATTTGAGAATAGGTACTACAATCGAATTGGAAGAACCCTAACCCCCCGGTTTTCTCGGACTAATGTTGTATTCTCACCCTCGCTTAGTCGGCGATATCTTTACTGAATAGGAAAGGGTCCACATTGTTTTTCTATCGTCAGGTGGGATAATCCTTACCTGTTCCTCCTTTGGGAGGGCAGATAGAAAGTGATGATTGGAGATCGCATGATACGTGATTAGCGTCTCTGCGTAATCAGGACTTGCAACACCCTGATTGCTCCTATCTGATTCTCTGACGATCAAACCACTTTTTGAAGTAATAATTAACAGAACTTGAGAATTTGGGCTTAAGACTTTTGTGTATGTTATATCTCTTGATAACATCTTGCTATGGAATGACTATGCCAGGTTCCTGTTTGACGGAGAGATCGTATGCTTTCCAGTCCTGACTCTAGTCATTCCAAATAGGCAAAAAGCATCCCAGGAGAGATGCTTTCTAAGGATGTTCTGCACACGTGCACAGCCTTTTCCTCTGACCTTCATCCTCACATTCAGTTGACAAATATTTTTGGTGCTCCTTATTATATGCCAAGCACTATTAATAGTACTGAGGAAATAGATGTGACTATGATCCATATGCAGCTTTGGCCATCCAGAAACAGGAAACACTTTCCAGTACTCCCAGAGTAATTTAATTATATATATTACTCTGTGTTTTGTGGGGAATACATGGGTGGGGAATGCATGAGCATGTGTGTGTAGGTCAGAGTTCAAACTCAAGTGCTTTGCCTCAGGAGACATCCATCTTTTTTTTGGAGACAGGATCTCTCACCACTCCCCAGCCAGTGCTTTCTTTTTTTCTTTCTCCTCGTCTTTTTGAGACAGGGTCTCTCTGTAGCCCCAGCTGTCCTGGAACTCACTATGTAGACCAGGCTGGCTTGACTCTCACAGAGCTCCACCTGCCTCTGCCTCCTGAGTACTGGGATTAAAGTTGTGCTCTACCACACCAGGCTCCAGCCTTTTTTTTTTTTTTTTTAATGAGATAATCCCAGGCTGGCCAGGTCTCAGTTCTCTAACTGTGGAACAATCTCTGCCTGCTAGGTTCCAAGGGTAGATTCCTGCCTCTAAGCTGTGTGGTAGGGAGCAAGTCACTTCTCAGTTCCTTATGTGCACCTCAGAAGTAGTTACTACAGATTGCAGCTGTCTTGTCTTGGTCAGCACCAGAGGATTTGCCAATTAGCATCAGAAACAATTTTTGTTTAGTTGTGATATTGGTGGCTTTCAAGATCTGAGGACCAGCTGGGGTGTTTCAGAGACCCTTTTCATAATCAGAGGAATGAAGTCTGTAGCCACAATCTTGAAGAATGACTCTGAGGCTTGAGTTCTAAAGATCCTCTCTCTTGATGGTTCCTCCTGGATCTATGGTTGTCTAGCACCTTCCATGAGGGTGTTAAGTCTGTTTTGGGGCTGCATCTGTCTCATGATTGATTCCTGCAAGGCATCATCCAGCTTGAAGGGCAGCTGTCTGACTTTTGTTTAACTTCCTTGTTACTTCTCAGTAATAAATACCTTTATGGGGGTGTGATGGAGCATGCTACAGCCACCTATGAAAGAGATTAAATTGGCCCAGGTTAGTTTACAGAATATCTCATGGGACAGTTGAGAGGGTTAATTGAGATAATCCAAGTTAGGTGGGGAGGAGGGAGTGACAGGGTGTCAAGCCTGTGACATCTACTCAGGATCTTTTCATTGATTGACTTGGACTCTGGAACTCTTCCAATCATGGTGAACATCTATTGTTTTCACTTGTTTAGCATCCATCCTTTTCTTACTGGCTCCCTCATTTGCCTTTGGGAGCCCCCCCCCATTCTTTGTCTTTTTGTTTAGTAAGTGGCTGAAAGCCCCTCCCTCCTACTCTTCTCTCTGCTCCAGGGATGGTCAGGTGGTCCAAGCTTGGCCAACAGGAGCATCCCATCTTCCCTGCCCTAGTGATCAGTTCAAGTATAAACTTCAACAAGCCAGGACCTATGCTTAGGCTATAAGAAATAAAAACATGCTGTAAAATAAACTGACTAAAACAATGTAGGAGTGGGTGAGATGGCTCAGTGGGCAAAGGTGCCTGCTGCCAAACCTGATGACCTGAGTTTAATTCCTGGAACCTACATGACAAAGGAGAGAATCAACTGACTCTCTGACCACCACACGTATACTGTGGCATATACAGCACCACACAAATACATGTATCATAAATAAACTGTAATAAAAAACCAAACCAATGTAGTACAATTGCATGATTATACAGGGTAATGGAACACACTATAAAGTACAGAAAAGGTACTAAACAAATAGAATCTAGTGGGTAATAAGGATTTTATTTATTTATTTGATTATTTATTTATTTTTGGTCTTTTTTGTGGCAGGGTCTTTCTGTAGCCCCAGCTGGCCTGGAAGTCACTTATGTAGACCAGGCTGGCCTTGAACTCACAGAGATCTACCTGCCTCTGCCTCTCGAGTGCTGGGATTAAAAGCATGCACCACCACACCTGGCTAAGGATATAATTTAAAAACAAGTCAGGAGGCTGGGTGTGGTAGTGCATGCCTTTATATTTGTGACAGGGTCTCATTATGCAGCACTAGCCTAGAATTTGCTATGTAGACCAGGCTGGCCTCAAACTCACAAAGACCTACCTGCCTCTGCCACTCAGCCTCCTGGGATTAAAGGCATGCCCCATTGCTCCTAGCTGTCTAAGGGTTTTATAGGTAATGGCAGAAACTGGACAATAACTGAAGTAATTTCTACTGAGATGGTTAATTCTCTAGGCTATCCTGGGCTGAACCAATGGAGGTCTCACATGCTCTAGGAATGTGCTTGTAGCTTAACCAGGGAGATAATCATGCTACCCACCCAGTTAGGGGTACTTGAAGCCTCCCCTGTCCAACTCTGACTCCAGCTCTGACCTTGACTGTTTGCTGTTAGTCACTTGGCCAGCATTACTACCCTCTGACCTTACAAGTGTCTTGAATGCTATTAAACTAAGCTCTCTTTGTTCTCACATTTACTTGATCCTCTTATAGCTTTACCATGACAGAGTTAATGTTATCCCAGCTACCAAGCTGTAGGTGCAGTCTTTCTTGTTTACCTCATACTTAGCTCCTTGTCTATAGGGTGACCTGGGGTAGTCTCCTAGGTAGAAGCTTCTTGTCAGAAGCCATTTTTACTTACAGTTAAGTCTGTTATAATTAGCTGCATTAGAAGCAAGGACATATAAAAGGATAGTAGTGCCTTACACATGTTCCTCAAAGGCTTTGCCAGCCTGCCTTCACTGGCCCAGAACCTTGTCCTTCCTTTTATCTATCTAGCTTAGCTGTCTTATAGCCAGCTACCAATCCTCTTACTCATCTTCCTCACCACTCCAGACTCACGTTTTAACCCTTAAACTCCTTGTAATTCCAGCCTCTGTTCTCACTGCAACATATGTGAGTAACTTGAATTTTTACCAAGGGTACTTTTCCCTTAGTATCTATAGACAGCTAGCTCATTTTTCACTAATACTTAGGAGGCAAAGGATACCAAGAAGACCATCCTGGGATACATAGTGAAACCCTGCTTCTAAAATAAGTATCTTGGAATGGGGTTTTTTATTTTTGTTTGAGACAGAGTCTCCCTGTACCACCAGCTGGCCTGGAACTCATTATGTAGACCAGGCTGGCCTCAAACTCCTGGAGATCTGCTTGCCTCTGCCTCCTGAGTGCTGGGATCAAAGACTTTTGCTACCACACCTGGCTTAGAATTGTTTTTTTTTTTTCCCTGTTTGCTATCTTTTATTAAGAAGTCCCACACTCTCATGAGACAAATCAGACAAGTGGAATTTTTTTTTTAAGATTTATTTTATTTGGGGGGGGTGGGGCTGGAGAGATGTTCTTGCAGAAGACCCAGGTTCGAATCCAAGCACCCACATGGCAGCTAACAACCGTAACTCTGGTCCCAGGGGATCCAACAGCCTCTTCTGACCTCCTTGGGCATTGCACGACATAGGTCCACTTACCTACATACAGGCAATACATGCATACACATAAAATAAAAAAATAAAATTTTTAAAAGGGTTTTTTTTTGGCAGGGTCTCCCTGTAGCCCCAGCTGTCCTGGAACTCACTATGTAGACCAGGCCAGCCTTGAACTCACAGAGATCCACCTGCCTCTGCCTCCTGAGTGCTGGGATTAAAGGCATGCACCACCATGCCCAGCCTAAAAGCTTTTTAAAAAAGATTTATTTTCTTTTTATTTATGTGTATGTATGTATGTGTGGGGATGTGTGCATGAGTGCAGGTGCTCTGAGAGGCCAAAGGTCTTGGATCCCCTGAAGCTGGAGTTAGAGATGGTTGTAAACTGCTGATGGGAACTGAACTCAGGTCTTCTGAATGGGTTCTTAACCAATGATCCATTAAAGTGATGGTACTCTAGCCTCTGGAATTTTTATTTTTTTAGACAGGATTTTTTTGGGGCTAGAAATGGTTCAGTGCTTAAGAACAGTGGCTCCTCTTGCAGAGGGCACATAGCAGCTAACCATGGTCTTTAACTCCAGTTCCAGGAGATCTGACACCCTCTCTTCTGGCCTCCATGGGTGTTGCATGATACAGTTGCATTTACATACATGCATGCAGGCAAAATACTCACGTACATAAAATAAATAAATAAATAAATAAATAAATAAATAAATAAATAAATATTCGTTTTGGTTTGGT